GGGCTGCAAGAGGGAGAGAATTTGCACTCCTCCTCAGACCTGTCGTCAGGCTAGGTCTGCCTAACGAGTATTCCACTCTTGTATCAGCTCTGAGATACGGCTCTTGTCATTGATCTCGAAATACCTCAGCTGATGCCGATTCTGCATATCTTTCACTCTCCATAACCAGAGAATAAACTTCATTTGCTTTGACGTTGGCCCCCTCGACGATGCTGATAACTCTGACAGGCGATACCCAAGTCGCCATGCTTGAGCGTCCTTAAGACCTGAAATTGCCAGTCCTTCTGTTCGAAGTCCCTCCTTTAGCGCTTCTACTGTCATCAGCATGCAAAGATCGTGAGCCACTCTTGTAACATCGTCTTGACTCTCTGGAATGCTTGGAGAGGAATCTGGTGTAATCCGAGGTGGTCTCGGGCTAGGCGTTCTTGCCCTCCGTAGTTGACGTCGAACTTGCCCGTCATGATCCTCCTCTTCCATCCGCTGTTGCGCTGCGGCTGCGGAACTTTGCTCTATGCGCCTTGGCCTTTGGGCCTGAATCCCTCTGGTTGTAGTCGAAGAGGATGATGAAGATCGCTGTACATCCTCTGCACAATCCTCTGTTGACTGCATCCGCTCCAGCTCTCGCTCAATTGCTTCTGTAGTGGCCGCCTGCAACTTCTGCAATCGACGAAGCTTCCTCTTGGATGATCCTGGCATCCATGTAGTAACCGCCTCAATAAACACCCAGCGGATACCCTCCCATAACATCATTGCACCCAACACCATCAACAAAGCCATCAATATCCCCACAGCATCATGATCCAGCTGTAGACCTGGCGATCGCTCACGCCCACCACCTGATCCATCTTCAGCTGCTCGAACAGACACCATCAAAAGACAGCAGATTAATGCCACCATAATCCTTGACGGCGCCCTCACTGCGGCTCTCACTGCAGCCCTGTTGTTCTCGTAGGGTCCAATGCCCCACAAACGTAGAAGGTGCTCTATGCGCGCTGAACTGAGTGCCTTTGTCAAGAGATCTGCTGGTTGAACTTCCCCAGGACAATGTCGAGACACAAAGATCCCGTGGGAGATCTGCTCCTGTAGCCATCCAGCCTTGATCCTCAAATGTCTCGTTCTCCACGAACTCGCTCCAGTTGTTATACTGAGCGCTGAGGTGCTGTCCGATGCTATGCAGCGCGAACTCACCTGCTCTCCCACATCACTGAGTATTGCCTCAATTCCTTTTAAGGCAACTGCCCCATCTATAATTGCCAGCAGTTCTGATTCGGCAGTTGACAGGGTGATCATACTTTGTCTCCCGCTCCGCCATGCCAGTGGTACACTTCCATAAGCAACCAGCCATCCACCATGCGAGCGGCCGCCTTGCGGCGCATATGCTGCATCACTGTACATGACTAATCCCTTAGGATCCCATCTGATTCTGAGGCCATACCCAATGGTACGACGAAGGTAACCGAGTGCCTTGCGTCCAACATCCACTGCTTGTTGAGGATTTTTCGTACTCAAAGTTGCCATTATTGAGCACGCGTAAGAAAGATCCGGACGCGTACGCTGAGTGACCCAAAGCACTTCTCCAGTCAGTTGCTGAGCATCCCGCACCAGTTGGGCACTCAGCCCTTCCGCCTCATCAGGTAACCACGCCAGCTCCTTTGTTATAGGCACCTTGTCCAGCTGTGACTCTTTTATCTCATGCAGCCTTAATAGCTCGCTAATATAGCCTTGCTGAAATACATGAATTTCCTCGGCTTCTTCCTCCATACGCTGGAGCTCCATGCCCAAGAATCTGATTGAATTGCCTGGACCCAAGAACGATAACTCTGACGTGTCCCACACCCTTTGTATAGCTGCTCCGATCTCATTGACCAAGGTCCGTGGGCCACATATCATAAAATCATCCACATATACAACCACAATGGCTTGCACTTCACCTGACCGATCACGAATGGACCACCACGCCGTAACAGCTCTTCCTTGCGTCCAGCTCAATCCGCTAGGAAGCTCTATCCTCCGCAATGTATCATCACGAAAGTTTCCCCATAACATTGGGGCTTCACGCAGTCCGTATAAGGCCTTGATAAGGCCCCAGAGCTCCATCTTTCCGGCCAGACCAAGAGCTTCTAATAGACGAGGAGGCTGAGCAACTACTATTGGGTCTGTAGCAGTACGGCCCAACGGTGTTTTAATGAAAGCCGCTACCACATCCAAAATAGCAACGCACCATCGGTTCTTGCTTGCTAATGTAAGCGCTGCTCTCACCACTTCTGCTGGCGCCGTTTCTGTATACAACGGGTTGCCCTCATTCGAAGCCATGTTACCACATATTACCAAACGCGCCTTGCGTTTGTACCAAGACGTGGGATCACCTTGTACTGCTCGATCGTTGGGCTTCACAGTAAACACGAACTTCATTGGAAGCTTTTGCGCTCCCTCTTTGCTCAACCACTGTCTTCGCTCATCTGTACCAGCCTGTAGCCTCACTATAGCAGCCTCTATACCCTGTATTTCTTTCAGGATCGCTGGACGCCAAGCATCGAGGTTCTTTAGGACTTCTTCTGGCTTTATCGTATGTGTAACATCCAATGGCCCTGATAACTCGGACAATACTTCCTCAATGTTCGGCGTAAAGGCCACCTCAGTTTTGCACATATAAGGAAGACTCGGGACCTCATCTGTACCTCTTGCCACTTGTGCCATACCAGTACCAACCTCCAGATACATTGACCATGTATTTGACGACAACTCCTCCGGGCCCTGTCATTGACCTCTGGTATAACGGACCCGACCTTGATGTCATTCCGCTGAAGGTTGCCATGAAATTCTGGTAGCTGTGAAAGTGGTATTGGGAACCCATAGTCATGTAGTGTCTCCAGGTCTTGCTGTGACAACTTACCCAGACAGTCCGGTGTGTAAGCAATGAGGTTTATCCGTGTACCTTCCCAGGCTGAAACTTCATGATATCTGCTGGGATCAAAGGCAATACACCTGCCTTCTTCGAGTTGCTCCAGCTGTCCATAGAGCCACTGCTTCCCAGCTTCTCTCTGCTCAATACTTCCATGAACCACATCACCAGGCTTCAATTCCACCCACAGCTCTCCGCCATTGCGTGGACACACTACTGGAATGACATAGTTCTTGGTAAGATAATCATTGTTGACATCCTTGTGCATAGCCTTTGGAGCATTGTATGAAACTAACACCGATGTGAAGGTAGCAGCTGGGTTCACCTCTGTAACATATTGCACCAAAACCTTGGTAAGTGCTGGGTACTCAATAAGACCCGTAAGCCACCCCACTGCTCCTCCATGCCTGTATACTCCAAACTTCTTATCGTCAAAGAAGTTCTCCTCGGCCAGCTCTGCGATTAGCCTTGTTGCACTTTCCACAGACCAGCTGCTCATCACTTCCTCTGCTCTTGTCTTTGCCCACTCCTTCACATCCTTGGAACAACTCCCAATAGCCCTCATCTCCACATTCTCTACCCCAGTCTTCTCAGGGATTCTGCGTCTAGGCTTTGGTGGCTCTATCCGCAACTCCTTCTCGGTACTCCCGGGCTCAATGAGGTTGGGCCTGACATGTAGAGTGTGCAAAAACTTCTCCCTTTCCTCTGCGCCACCTGGTAAGTAAACCAGGTGTCCATGGTGAACGATTGTACTCAATCCCACATACTTGCCGGTTGTCCACTTGCTTTCCAATCCATGCTCACGACGTAGTGGACCATATTTGTCAAATGCCTTTTTTCGCAAGTGAACTGTAGCACCAAACGGCGCAGCCAGGCTAGACTTCCAGCTCAAAACCTTTGCCCGCTGCTCTGCGGCAGCTGCTGCTGCTGCAACCGGCCAAAGGCGTATAGGAAATGCTGCTGCTCTCAATAGCGTTCTCGTACGGTCCTTCACCCATCTGACAGTCGACTCTGCATGCCCATTACTCTGCGGCACACTGGGTTCTGACCATGTGCCCATTATCCCCTGCTCACGCAGCCAGGCTCTGAACCCATGGTTATAGAACTCGCCCTTGTCAGAGTGGAAGCGATAGACCGGCAACCCATGCATTTGTAAATAAATCAGAATATCCTGCAGAGCTGCTCGAACTGTCTTTGACTGATTGTTCGGTAAAGCAGTAGCAAACACCAGAAACGTCATTTCAGGCGCGACCGTATCACCTTCCTGCATCAGTATGTTGTCCACCTTCTGAGGTTTGGAGAGCTCCTCCTCGACGTCAGGATGACCTTCACGATCATCATCTGGTGCAACCTCCTCCTCTTCTCCTGGATCTGAAGGTTCTTCATCATCAGGAAACTCTGCTACTTCAACTCCTCGTATAGCCTTATCTGGCTCATGCACTGTACCGATCAAATCCCCAAATAAATCCTCATCTGCTAGGGGAGGTTCTTGGCCTGGTAGTGGTAGCGGAGCTTCGCAATCCTGCCCATCATCTGCGGGTGGTGTCTTCCCAGAGTATGCCTCCACAAATGCCTTTGGGACCAGGTACTTGGCTGCAAGCAAGTATTTCAAGCCCTTTCCCATTGTCCCTTTTGACGTAGCATCTAGACCCGGAGTCAGAGGTCCTGCAACATCGGCCGTCAGGACATAGGTTTCTGGATGATGTACCCTACGGTGTTGCCGCCCAAGTCCTCGACCCATAACGCAGGTTGCACATTCCTTTCTATACACAGCATGATTACTATCGATATGCTGCTTCCATTGTAACGGTGACATAGCTCTCATTCGTGGGGCGCACTTAGAATTCCTTTCCCAGAAATTCAACCCCACCACCAATGCATTGACCAACCCAGATGACCATATATAATCCTCATCTCCTCGCTCTGGTAGGTCAGCATCATCTGCAACACGAACTTCACTCAAGGACACCAAGCTGCACACATTCGTTCCCAGTGTAGTTCGATTCCTTGACTTTGAGCCCATTGCACCTTGGTCAAACGAAACCTCACATAGCTCCGCCTCCCGTGCAAAGGACCTCCACATTCTTGTTTGCCAAAATCCTCGGCTGGCGTCCACTGTACACGTGCCAACCCAATCTTCCCACCGGGGCTTCTGTACTTCTTCCCAGTAGTCTTGGGATTGCTCCCAACTGGCTCCTCCTGCACGTCCAGACGGGTCACGCATTCGACCTTCAGCTTGCAAGATACTCAACTCTCGGTCTCGCTTCTGCTGTGCCGTCATTCCCTCTGGGTATTCCAGAACGAAGCCAACATCCCGATCCTTGTTGATCCCTCCTCCATTGACTTCACGTCCAACCTGAGCCACCACATATAGCCACATCATCCGGGCAACCAGCGCGAGGGACTTTATGTCTCGCTTGCCGCCCTTTAGCAGCTGGTGGGCCCTCCCTGGAGGACCTCCAAGAATCACATCCACTTTGCCTTCCTTGGCGCCCCACAACAGCATTCGCCACACCTCATTTCTCATAAGGTCTTGTCCAGCGCATCGATCCAGATCCAACTCTAGCACTGTTGTGTCGCCTTGGTCCAGCTTCATAATCTCCCAATGACCCTCCTTTCCAGCAAAGAGATGCACCACCCACCTTTTGGATGATACGAGCCTTCGTCGCTGGGGTCGTGAGAGAAAGCCAATGTTCTTCATGATGTCCCATCCAGACCACAAACCTGCACTGGGTATAAGGTTTGTAAGACATTCTCCAGGTAAATCCTCAAAGAATGGAGCGTCTCTAACTGCACGTAGCCCAGACTCAAATGCACCCTTCGTCACGTAGTCATAGAGATAGTGGGTCCAGTGAGTTTCCATAGCCATTGCAGACACCCGTAGCTTCTCCTCTGTGTCCATGACCTCGTTGTGGAGCTGATCCAACTTCCTATCCTCCAAACGAGCTATAAGGGATAAAGCCTCCATTTCCTTGAGTTGTGGGCATCCTCCTTCTAGCTGTAGAGGTAGTTTACGTCCGACTTCATCACACAGGTAGCACTCATCAGGGGTCCACACCATGGTATACTCAAGGGTCCTTATGAGTTGACCCATAGGCACGATTGTCTGAGCTCGTAGTTCATCAGGTCCACCGGTAGCGGAGCCCTTGAAAGGCATCAGCAAAGTTCCAGACTTAGTGATGCGCATCACCAGCTTATGGCTTCCAGCGAGTTGCACCGCCACTTGCTCAGCATCCAACCACTCTTGCTCGGAGACTGCAGTGCGGAGGCTGTGAGTGGCTCCGCTGTCTAATAAAGCTGTTGTTGTAGCTTCCATCGAGCAGACACGAATGTCCTGTAGACGCAGAACCTTCATGACTGGACGTGTTTTTTCTGGTGAGCTCTCTGTGCTTGGGGACTCACCACCTTGACCTTGCACCATCTGCTGCGCCGCCTGCACCAGCGACTCAAGGGTCCATGGGGTTCCCGGAATAGGCTCTGTAGTCATAGTTGTCGGGGCAGTGGTAGTACCTAATGTTGCCATTGTAGACTGCGTAGACATAGATCCTCCTCCACCCCCTGGCTTTCCTGCTGCTGCATCCTTAGGTGGTGGAGCTGCTGCTTTGCCCGGTTGCTTTCCAACCGGACACTCCTTCTGTCTGTGGGCTTCTGACCCACAGCGAAGACACTTCTTTGCCCGCGTTTCCCGATCAAAGGAAGACATGTTGTGCGAGAAGTTGCAGCGATCTCCACGCTTACAGCCCGTGGCCTTGGAAAAATACCTGCACATTTCCACCGACGACCCAGACTTTCCAGCAGCGTCCCGAGCCTTTGGTTGTAGTCCTGTATTGATTGCTCTAAGTTTAGGCGGGGTTGTGGTGGATGTCGATATAGCCTTAGCCCCAAGCAATAGCTCCAGCTCTGCCTGTAGGTGGCGATGGTAACCTATAACCTGCTCCAGCGTAGGCCTGGCATCAAGCCTCAATGAGGCTCTAAGCATAGATGTTCTGAAGCTTGCGTCAGGTGACGCTTCAATATGGGCTGATGTCAGCGCCTGAAGTCCACGAGACAACACCGACGGGTCTGGCGGCGACATCTGAACCGCTCGACAGCGGTCTAGCCACCGTGGCCATGCACGCAGCGCTTTTACTGCTCCTTCCAAAGTCTCACTTCCTGGCGCCTCTGCTGGCGCTTGGAGCCGCTTGAGAACCTCAGTGCGCTCTGCTGACCCACCTGGCTGGTAATGGGTGTATAATCTGTATAGCATCCGTACGCAGTCTTGTGTACATCGCCTGGAAACCATGTCAGCCTTCAGGTCATTCGGCATCGCATTGAGTAACATAGATGACCCACGGGCGTTGACTCTTAGCCACTTTCCAGTACACCATTCTTCTGTCGATACTGGCTCAATTGTTAATTTCTCCAGCGGCGAGGCTGCTAACCAACGTACATATACTTGCTCCACTGCGCTTAATACACCCTGCCACCACGTAGCGCTTGATTCAGAAATATCAGACATAATTGAGCTCGACACTTCCAACCAGTCCTGGAACATAATTGCTGCATCTGTCGCCTCCTTAAAGTCAGGCATAGCCGCCAATGTCATTGTCCCTGGCTTAACCTGCTCCTGTCCAGACCCAGTGGCCTTGCTCATCGCTTGCATCTGAAGTTCTTGAAGCTGTTGTACACCTTTGGCTAAAGCTTCCCAAACAGGCGTCTCACCAGTTTCTGGTACTGAGGCCTTCGGTGGAGGAGTCGATGACCTCCCTCGGCCTTCCCACCACGATCTCAAGACTCCTGGTGCCTCTGTTCTCTCCACCTTAGGCACAGGTGGTACCCCAGGAATCTCATATCCCAGAGCATCTCCCTCAGGTTTCCACGCATCTGCAGGACCAGCTGCTCCAGGACCTGACTGTGGTCTCAACCTTGGCTCTCGGTCTGGAGCTGAGGTAGAGTGTAAATTTCCTGTAAAATCCGGAACTGTAGCATCCCCACATGGTCCAATAGGTGGTAACCCAGCCAATGCACCTGGATCCAACTGTGCGGTTGTTATACCTCCCAATAGTCCACCTGGTCGTAGCAAGGTATGCTCTTGTAACATATTCTTCTGTTGCTCCTGTCTCAACTGTGTCCTTGTCTCCTGCAATTCCATCTGCAATTGCTCGTTCTGCTCGCCATAATCCCTCAACTGCTGTAGCACACCATGTAGTTGCCTTTGTACTTCTGCTTGTATAGCCTCGGCCGGTATGCTTGACGACGATGGCGGCGTTGGAGCTGGTGGTATAGCTCGAGGTCTTGCTGGAGATCGAAGACGAAAAGTTGGGCCGCCTGGCGGCGACGAGAACGGCGAAGCCCCTGGAAACGGGCTAGGGGCCATCTCTCCTTGTGGTACCCCTGTACCCGTATTCAGAATGCTCCCAAGCTTTGCAAACCAGCGCGGCACATCCACACCAGATAACCACGATGGCTGTTGTCCCACCCGCTGCGATCCTGCAGTCGGAGGAGTCCTCAAATGTGGTGACGTCTCACCACGCTCGTGCACTGACCCGCTTTGCTCCAAACTCTGAAACCCGCCCACATTCAGAATCGTTGTCACCGGTTGTTGTGGTTTCACCTGCACTGATGTGGTTGCTGTAACATTGTCCGAAGACGAGCCTTGAACACCATCTTGTCGCGACTCTCCATGCCCAGCCTCTTGCAGCACGGCATCCCTGGTCTGTCGCTGGGGTTCATCCCCCACCACACCAGCCTCCAGCTGGCCATTCGAGTTGACAGCTCCCACAGAGCTCGACGGGGCTGAGGGCTCGTTTTTCCCCACCCCATTCGGAAGCACCGCTTCGGAGGTTTGGGCGCTCATAACCTAGAAATCCACGCACTCTCCAGTGGA